ACAGTGTGGCATACAGTCTCTCTCTCTCTCTCTCTCTCTCTCTCTCTCTCTCTCTCTCTCTCTCTCTCTCACACACACACACACACACACACACATACACACACACACAAATTCTAGATAATTTTTTTAAAAAGAAAAAATTTATTAAATTATTAAATATGAGTGAGTGTAGTATAGTGCTATTTGCATACATGAATTACAATTCATATAGTTAAAAGTGAACAATATCTTGTTAATATATGTTATATTGAATTTCAGAAGACTTTTGTAGAAGGTGAGGAAAAAATTGTGTGAAAACTACTAAATCACAAACAAAATTGAAAATGATAGTTTTTTAATCTTTACATGAACTCTGACCTCAAAGTTGCAATTATTTATGGAAAAAAATACCACTTCTCAATAAACATTTTAGACAAAATAACAACCTCATCACAATAGTTACACCTAGACACATGCCAACTCTTTAAAAGCAAGTGTAGCTATACTTGACTGAGAAACTTTCAGATCCCAGCCTGTTGCTAATTATGTCAATTCTTTACCTTACTTAAACCTCAGAAGCAACTCTGGGCAGTTGCTTTTTATAACCACTACCTTACAGATAAGGAAACTGAATCTGAGATCTTTGTCAATGGCCCACAGCCACAGCTGGTTCATGTGGAGTCTGTCACTCTATCAGATGACTTGCCTTCAAATAATACTTGTCAACACATTATCAATGAACAGTGGATGACTTAGCTAATGATGTAAAGATACATACACAAATGGGCCCCTTTCCTACACTGTTTACTTGAGGTTATTTTAATTTGTTACTTATCTGCTGATAGATATGATTCACTTTCACCTTTTCTCTATTGTCAGGAGCAACCATGATGTTATATAAAAACATGCTCTCATCCCCAAAGGCAAAGTGGCCAGAGACTGCCAGTGGTGGTGACATGATACTGGATATTAAGTAGCGTTACACTAGACTTCATCTGTGGCATCATTGCTGATAAGGGATTTTAGACCAACGGCGTCATTAGTCCCGACTAAAAGTTCCAAATGGTTGATTAAAATCTGAGATCAGCACTTCATCTGGATTCTAGAGCAGGGTCACTGATGCCAAGAGCAAGATTGATTGTACATCTGCAGACATGGCAGCCTTTGCAATCATGATTTAGGGCAATCAACTTTCACCTTTCCCTTAATTCTAGATACAGGAAGAATATTTTTATCTTTAAATGCTTGGTTTTACTTATTCTGGAATCAGCTTACTTTTGATGATAACCTAATTTCAGGATAAATTCAGGATATTACATCAAAGAGTCTAGCTTAGTACTTTTCCATAATAATACATGTCTACAGGATTATGATCTTTTTTTTTTTTTTTTTTTTTTTTGGTTTTTCAAGACAGGGTTTCTCTGTGTAGCTTTGCACCTCTCCTGGGACTCACTTGGTAGTCCAGGCTGGCCTCGAACTCACAGAGATCCGCCTGGCTCTGCCTCTCGAGTGCTGGGATTAAAGGCGTGCGCCACCACCGCCCGGCCAGGATTATGATCTTAATGTAGGATAAATTAACTCCCAAAGGTTTTAATCATTTCTAAATTAAACTAATAGGTGAACACAGAGTTTACATACAGGTTGTCTCTGTATTTTATCTTCTATGATTCTACCTGGCTCTGGTCAGTGTGTAAAAGCTGTACAGAGAATGAAAACACTATTTCACAGGTAGAATTTTTAAAAGAGAAAATTTGGAATTAATATGATTGTATAAGTTATTGAATTAAAATTTTTATTCCTAGTTCTTGTAACCACAGGAAAGGTTTGGAAATACTTCTTTGAATATATACCTAAATTTATATTTTAGAATGTAAGTTTATATAAAAAACAAATTTTAGTGGCCACACACTTTTCTCTGAAGAAATCAGTGTGTAAATAACTAAGAATCTGAAAAAAATAATCGTAGGAGTAAATCAGAATCCTCTTCACATTTGATGATATAAAGTGATCTGTAATCTAACTTCTCTCACAGGGGATTTGATCTGCATACAACTTATATCAGTTTGGAACCATATTTTCACTCCTGGTGCCTTGAATTAGACTTTTCTGCTTCTGTGGAGTCTACCTAGTGTTCAATCTGTTTCCCCACTACCCCCAACTAGAACACATAATCCCTGTGTTACACATTGCTCAGGTCAAGCCCTTTCAACCCTGCTCATATCTTCTCCAGTGACCTTCAGCCAGCCTGGCCCTGGAATTTACACAAATGGGCCCATTAAAATGTTCCCTGTGCATGTTTGAAGCTGATACTCGGTGCTCAGCTATTTCAGAAACTTATTAGAGCAACTGCTCTGTCTTTAAAGTGTCTGTGGACAGGTGTCATGGCTGAACCAGCCAAAGAGTAACAGAGCCCATCAAAGCATTATGTGCAAGCTCAAAGTACTCTGGTGATGTCATTCAGGGAACACAATCTCCAAGCATGTGTGTCATCTGGTCCAGCTCTCTATCTAACTTAAGAACCCATCAGTAGTACTCAGGAAAGGAGAAAAGAAAAGGAAAGAGTAGGGCCTTAGTGAAGTCTGGGCTTGAATGCTAGATATATCCAGACAGTTCTAATTCTGTGATCTCAGGCAAAATGCAAATGTCCTGAAATTCAGTTTACACTTGTAAGTGCTGGCTTCAGAGCAGTTGCCTGAGAAATAACCAAATGAGCAAACACATGGGAAACAGTATTTTGGGTATACTTGTAAGATTTCAAACCATCCCCTTCCCCTCACTGTTGGTGTGTCTGTATTCTCTGCCCAGGATCATCTTGACTCTTTCTCACCCTTTCACCTAGTTAACTAGTAACT